TAAAAGTATACTTTTCAAGATTCATTTTAATTTTTTACCGTGAATTTTAAAACAACACATTAAATTACTGTCCAAAACCTTCCTTATTTTAAAATTTGAAATATTTTTAGACAGGTGCCAAGTATTTCCACAATTTTTCTCTTTTTCAAGTTCAGTCTCTTTCTTCTCCTCAACTGTTTTTCTTATGCTAATAAAGTTGTAATGATTAAAAAAAAACCCACTGCTCTGATTCTTTATTTAAGGGAGAACATCAAAGGCAGGGATAAGGTTTCAGGGGAGGAGTCTTGCAGTCAACAGGTTGATTGGCATCTTGGCAGGCCACACCCAGGCTGGGTGGCTACAGCAGATCACCCCGTCTCTGGTACTGTGTGGAACCTGGCAGAGCTAAATAGAAATTCACATGTGTCTGGGCAGTCTTAACCAGCGGAATTGCTGCTGGAAGTTTCCAGACACCAGGGGTACCATGCCAGTTTAGTCTACGTATAGTCCACAGATGGCTGTCGACAATTTTGTGATTAGACTTGGGTCCCATCCCCAAGATAGTTCATTATGTGAATATTACAAAATCCCCCAAAGTCTAAAATCAAAAACACTCCTGGTGCCAAGCATGTTGGATAAGGGACACACCTGTGCTGACAAACCATCTTAGAAGTGTCAGGTAAGTTTGGTCTCAGGGGTCTTTCCCCTCCGTTCTCACACATCAACTGAACCTGTGCACTCCTGTTCTGTCACAGTCTAACAAGCACATAGGCCTTCTATGCCCTTCCTGGTACTTGGTGAACTATTTAAAGCCAAATTATTAAGAAAATTCATATGTTGTAATATTTCAGACATAGCTGCAGAGGCTGTAATCATAGTAACAATGAATAAAAGAAAAGTAGCCACTCCAAGGATCAAGAGACCAAGAGCTTACTTGGTCTGTTTAACTGGCATGCACCTGTTGTAAAGCATGAAAACCTACTTCAGCCTATCACTTTTCTGAAATCTTAGCTGGCAACAGGACAAAGGAGGGTTGGTGAATGATGAATGTCCTTTTCCTCTATTATGACTAGTGATACAATTGGTTAAGTTGCATTATTTACAGGCTACAAGATATTTATCATCCTTTCTATTAACACTCACATTTCCAATAAACAAAGCATAAAGAGATTAAACATATGCCTGCAGATCATACAGGAACTTCCTTATAATTCCTGCCTACAAAATCAGGCATAGGTCTGTCAGTTGTGCAAAGATTCTGGGGCAGCAATTAGGCAACAAACATCCTTCGAGATGCCACCTCGCTGAAGGTTAGAATATTACCAATAAAACCTCCAGGTGTCACGGCATCCTTGCATAATTGTCTTTGTCAATTCTAAGAGACCAGTCTAAAATATATCCACTATTTCTAGACATTTTGTTGTATTGGCAAAGCATTTGCACAATTCATCCATTTAGGAAGTGTGCCAAATTCTATTGTAGAATGATTAGGGCAATAATATATTGGTGGATATTCTATGTAAATAACTGACCTGTATGGGAAAATTTCATCTCAATACTCTTTCTATTTTGAAAACTGTCCAGATATATCAGTATAGTCTTAAATTCTAAGTACCAGCGTGATTGGCTGGTTTAGGTTCCCCATGTTCCGTCTTTTCCTCAAAAGATACCCTTAGGCAGCCAGCATTCTTACCATGGGATCAACATATAGGTAGCTGACCATTAGAGTCAATATCATTAAATATAGGTGGATTTTCCAATCCACATTGTAAAGTACATTAAGGGTGGAATGGGAATGGATTGGGGAATGGATCCACAGAAGTCTCTTCATAGATTTTTCTTACCTGGCAGCTTGTGAATCTCACATGGCTGTGAAATCTGTGGGTGGAGGTTTAACCTCCTGTGTCAGGTTTTTCAGCCATTTCCATGATGACAGGTTTAGATTCTATCCCTTGAAATCTGATTTAACTTACTGAGCCATGTTCAGCAGAAATTTATTACAAATTAAGAAAAAATTTTTGAAATATTTTCTAAGATATAGTATATGCATGTAGGGTACTGTTCCACCCCCCTTTTATTATTTGTTAAAATTTAATAAAAGTTTGGCATAAGTCATAGTATCATTGGTTTTAAGTCATAGACAAAGTTTAGTATAGTACAAGTATTTAATAATAAGAAAAGATTTATTATATTTAATTGGTCATGAAACTTGACAAAAGTTACTTCTTAGCTATGTTAAGGTCAAAATTATTGAGTTGGAAAGGGACTATGGTAAATAGAAAAAATTTTCACTAAATGTATGATTTGATTTTGACTTTAACAGAATTACAAAATGAAGTATATAATAAATTGTATATAACAATTTGTATTTTGAAGTTAGCTCTAGATTAACTTAAATAATTATCTTAATTTGAAATGAGTTGAGAGACAGAGTTAACTTAAGAGAGGTAGCCTTTACTAGGGGCATGAGAGAGATATATAGACATCTCTCTAGAATAGGAAGTACATGTTTAATAAGCATAGGAAAGATATTTTGTTTTTCACCACTAACTAAAAATAAAATAGAAAAATGAATAGCCCTATATTTACCAATCTATGAAAAACTGTTAGTATCATTAGTAAACCTAATGTTGATTTAAGTATGGGGAATCAGTACCTTCAACAGTGGATGGGTAAAAATAAGTCAACAGTATTGTTTAGGACAGTGGTCTCATTTAGAATTTTATATAACATAGAGTTATCAATGACATCTTAAAGGACTGAATAATTTTTATGTATAAAGAAACAGTTGTATGGACATCTTCAATAACTTGATGAAGCAAGATTAGCTTTAATAATTATGTGGAACTTATGACGTTACTTTGTGAAAAAATTACTTGCAGGTCCGTGAGGTCTTTTCGCTGCCAGCCACACTACGCAGAGGGATCCCAATTCCAACATCCATTGTGGGATGTGGGTGGTGGTTGGCTCCTGGACAGGGACTACTCATCATGTGTATTCAAGGCACATAGTGGGTCTGGTTTTATTTCACAGGAAAATTGCACTTATATTTTTCAGAGTAATGAGGATTGGTTTTTGAAAGTAGAGAGAAAAGCTAGATAGTTGTTAAGCATGGAGAATTCTGTGTTTTCAGAAAGGGAGATCTATTTTGCAATTCTGATGATGATAATTAAACAAAAAGTAAAAGATATAAAAAGAGCCCAGCTCGATCAGTTTTTAGAAATGATTAGGGACATTTGTCCATGGTTTTGTGAGGAGGAATCGCTTGATTTGTATACTTGGGAAAGGATTGGTAGAAAATTATTTAAAGGCTGCATTTCAGCTGACCTGCCTAAAAGTATGATAAAAAATGTACAAAAAAATTGGACTGCAGGGCTGGGACTGTGGTTTAGTGGTAGCACACTTGTCTGGCATGTGTGAGGCACTGAGTTCAATTCTCAGCACCATGTATAAATAAATAAAAATAAAGATAACACAACTAAGAAAAAATTAAAAATTTGGACTGCAATAGAGATGTGTTTATATTCAGACCAAGATTTTGGTTAGCGGTCTTCAAAAGACTTACTTGCGGGTCTTAGAGATGCAGTCAAAGCCTCAAACCTGGTAGGCAGCCTTTCTCAGCTCTGAGGATTTCTCTATCTGCAGGTAACCTGACACATCAAAGGCAGGAAGAAAGATTAAGGGCAGAACAAAACCAGGCTGGATTTGTAACTCCTGAAACTCAGAGAGAAAGCCTCAGGGCAGAATCTAAACCTGTTCCATTCTTAGCAGATTAAAATCAAGAAATGCAGCGGCTGGGGCTTGAGTCTTTGCTCCAGACCAGTGCTAGGCAGGGAAATGCCCCAGATCAAATTTCATTAGGAAGGGAAATGCAAGATGATGGGGGAGGAACTGTGCTGGGGGATTCACAGTTAGGAGGAATCTGGGTTGGAAGTAGGCCTCCAGAATTTCATTTAAGTGGTCCTGCTCCATCAATCTGGATCTCTCCTCTCCCTTCAGGAAGGTTGAGGCTTAATCTCTCCAACATGGCCCTTACAAATCATTCTCCCCTCCAACTTGGTCTCAGAACTGCAATACAAGAGGGAGAAGATATTTCAGAATTAAATTCGTTCCAATTTTTTAACAGATACATGAGCAAAACAAACATGTGTGAGCTCATGTTGCTGTTCCTTTTTAAAATGTTAAGAGTTAAAATTTGCTTCCTCCACATATGGAGCAAACTCAACTTTTGTTCAAAGCCTCATAGAATCCATCTGTAGTGAGGCTCGGCCACCGCATACCTGGGTCATACTAGCTAAAGTGTGTCTTTCTGGAGGTGATTATTTACTGTGGAGATCTAATTGGATAGATCTTTGCTCTAAGCAGTCAGAAACTAACAAAAGACATGGGATTGACATTATGGTAGAGATGTTGACTGGGTCAGAACAATTTACTGATTTGGAACAGCAGTTAAAGTATGATTTGCAAGCTTATAATCAGATTAGGGCATGTTCCAGTACCTCCGATGGGAGGGAATTGCCTAATAAAGGAGGAAAAAAAAGTAGATTTCAGTCAAATCCAACAGGGACCACAGGAGAGTTTTTGGATTTTGTGGGGCATTTGTGCCAGGCTACAAGCTGCATGGTAGGGGATACAAATGCCTCCAAGGTGTTGATTAAAAATCTAGCTTATGAAAATGTTAATAAAGTCTGTCAAGAAATAATTCAGCCACATCTTAAGAAAGGAATTGTGTCCAAGTTTATCCGCCTTTGTTCCAATGTAGGTCCAAAGCATTTGCAAGGTCTAACTATTGCTACCACATTAAAGCAGGCTCTGCAACCTCCGTCAAAGAAAAGTAATTACCAAAGGCACTGGTTTAATTGCTGTAAAGTCAGGCACGTGGCGAGGGATTGTAGATTGCCACAAAGGCAAGGAAATTCACCTGGTTTTTGGCTGTACTATTTATTGGAGGGGCAACTACAAGGCATGGGGAGGCCACGCCCATAAATGGCCAGCCTCTGATTCTGCTGTAGGGAAACTGGAGGTGGGGCCACCCCGGCCCCACCAAACAGTAGAGGGCAGAGCTGGAGGCTCCAGGTCTTGCTCATCAACGCTAGCCCAGCTTCCTTATGCGCAGGCCCAACCTTACAATTCATCAGAGACAGTTTAAGTTCAAAGGTCCGAGCTTGGAGCTCGGAGCAGCCTTGGAATTCAAAATAAATCCCTTCAGGGATTTATGGGTCACTGCCATAAATTGATAGGTTTAATATTGGGAAGAAGCAGCCTAACTCAAAAAGGAATTCAAGTGTTACCGGGTGTTATTAATACAAATTTTAATGGGGAAATAAGGATTATGGTTCAAGCAAATTACATTATTCAGTTTTCTCCAAGGATATAATTGCACAGATAATTTTTCTGCAGCTGATCTGCAGGGAAAGGCTTAGTGGATTTCCACCATGCGACCAGCGCACTGGTTTCATTAAAGAGGTTCTTGGCATAAAAGTTAGCTAGTGAGATCGAAATAAACACACAGACTCAGTTATCTTTTTCTATGACCGGGTCCAAGACGGCTCTCCCTCTGACTGACACCTGGAACCACCAGGTAGGGCAGCAAGGATTACTCAGGGCTAGCAGGACAGAGAGAGAGAGAGCACGCCAGGGAGTGGCCTTTTATTGGGGAACAAGAGATTCAGGGGAGAATTCCATCCAATGAAGGTTGAGAGAGGCAGCACTCCAAGGTCAGGGTCAGTGATTGGCCCCAGGGTCAGTGGTCAGTCACACCCCCACACAGATGGGCTCTCGCACCAGGAGAGGGTGGGGAAAGCTCCGACACAGTTTAGCCAGAACGCCGCACACCCAATCCGGGAGGTGCCCAGTCACGAGTGAGAATGGCTCCCCACAGTGGCTAGTCTGGGTGGAATCCTGGCTTCCAGGTCCCTGGGCAGGGCCTATTTGGCTCAATTGATCAAGCAAGAGAACCATCTATCAGATGGTAAAATCAACCAAATAATTTTAGCAGCATATGAGATATAGGAGCAGATAAATGAGTTATTTCCAGCAGAAATTGGCCCCCAAGCTGCCTTTGCATACTGCCTCTGCCTGCTCAGAAAGGATTGGTCAAATCTCTTAGCCTTCTCAGAGCCCAGTACCTCCGATGGGAAGATATGGATGGCCATGCAGGACTTTTTAGAACTTATGTCTTCAATACTTTGCCAGTAAGTTTATGGTGATGAGCTATTCTATGTAACCTAGGTGTGTTATTAACAACTCCTAATTCTATGGTGTCACTTGAGATGTTTAATCCAGGATCTATTTCTCCTAAAGGATTAAAAGGGAATCAACAAGAGGGTATTTACCTATGATTCAATTTAATTCACCCAATCAAAGTTCTTAATGAGGGAGCTGACTTCCTCCCCAGCCCCGAAAACAGCAGAAAAAAATTATCTCGCTAACAGAAAAGCCCATCTGGGTTAGTCACTGGCCCTTAACAGCGGAGAAACTTTGAATAGCCAATATTTTAGTCCAAGAACAACTTCAAGCTGGCCTTAGAGCCTACTTTTAGTTGCTGGAATACACACCAGTTTTTGTAGTTAAGAGAAAAAATCTGGCAAATGGAGATTATTACAAAATCTTGGGGGCTGGGGATGTGGCTCAAGCGGTAGCGCGCTCGCCTGGCATGCGTGCGGCCCGGGTTCGATCCTCAGCACCACATACCAACAAAGATGTTGTGTCCGCCGAGAACTAAAAAAAAAATAAAAATATTWAAAAAAAAATCTTAGAGCAATTAATCACATTATAGAACCCATGGGAGCTTTACAGCCTGGGCTTCCTTCTCCTACAGCCATCCCCTTTGCTTATCTTTCAATGGTAATAGGTTTAAAAGATTGTTTTTTCACTACACCACTGCATCCAGATGATTGTCAGAGGGTTTTTTTGTTTGTTTGTTTGTTTGTTTTTTGTTTTGTTTTGTTTTTTTTCCATTCCGGCTATAAGATTCAAAGAACCAGTTAAAAGATATTGCTGGAGGGCTGGGGTTGTGGCTCAGTGGTAAAATGCTTGTCTAGCATGTACAATGCACTGGGTTTAATTCTCAGCATTGTGTATAAATAAGTAAACAAATTGAATGTCCATGAACAACTAATAAAAATATTTTTTTAAAAAGATATTGCTGGATAGTTTTGCCTCAAAGTATGTGTAGTAGTCCAATCCTTTGTCAGAACTTTGTAGCTCAGGCTAGTGCTCCTGTAAGAAAAGAATTCCCTGATGCATATATTATCCATTATACGGATGATATTCTTTTGGATCATGCTAGTCCAGATGTAATTTTGAAAATGTTTGCTCCATTAGAAAATTCACTTACTGCAATTGGTTTATGCATAGCACCTGAAAAGGTACAAAGACCTCTCCTTCTTAAAATTTAGGTAATGTAATTGAAGGACACATAATTTGTCCACAAAATCTACAAATAAGAGTTAATGGTTTACATACTCTTAATGACTTTCAAAAGTTACTAGGATGTCTCGAGCCATCCATGGGTGGTGTGTGTGAGCTATGTGCATTGTAGATATATGAGGGCACAGGTCTGGTGGTGCTCACTGATTGGGCTGTGTGATGCAAGTGTGCCTCTCCTCTCACTCTGCCTGCGATTCCACACAGCACCTGAAATGGGTGTGACTTGCCAAAATGTCAATTTGCTGACCACAAGACATCACAAAGCAAGACTCCACTGTTGAGACCCACAGCTGAAGGGGCCCCAGCAAACTTCCAGCTGATTGGCTCACCATGGCCCTAGCAAACTTCCAGCTGCCAGCTGATTGGCTCCTCTGCGGTGATGCTCATTTCCCCGCCCTTTCAGACCACGGAGCTGCTCATTGGGGGACTCTTTTGGCTCCGCCCATGCAACCCAGCCAATCGGCCTCAAGAGCAGGAGGAGTGGGGGGTTGAGAGGCTCCTTGCAGTTGGGCTCTGAGGGAATTCCTGAAGAGCTCCTGTGGTACAGCGTGTCTTCTAAAAATAAAGTTCATTTCTGCTTGACAAGTGGCTCCTGAATTGTGCCCAGCCAGACTGCGGCACTCCACCTTTGAAACCTTATTCCCTGCCTTATTTGGTGTAGAATATTCTATTGAAATCCTTTATTGTCTTTTCCCTATAAATAAAGCAATTCAGGTGCACTTGCTCTCTTGCCTTCCAGCATGGAAGAGGACCCTTAAGATCACAAAGCAGTCCCACCCTCAATATGAAAATTACTTCTGTGTCCTGTGCTTTGTTTGCCATTTTCTTAGTTTAATGTCGCCACCAGCTCTTTTAAACCCAGCCCATCTCGTCAGCATGGGACACTGGTGAGACTAGGTGATATCAACTGCCTGAGACCAAGTTTAAAACTAACCACTGCAGATTTGAGTCCTCTGTTTCAGATCTTCAATAGGCTCCTTCTCCAACTTCTCCTCATCAACTTACAACAAAAGCAAGGATTGCCTTTTAAAAGATTGAATCTGCTATTAAGACTGCACATCTTACCACAATTAATCCACAGGAGCCTATATACTGGCTAACATTTCCCACTGTTCATACTCCTACAGGAGGGATATGGCAATCATTGGGAATTATTGAATGGCTCCACCTAGATCATTCTCCTCAAATGTCGTTGATTCTATTCCATGACTTTATTGCTCAGTTAGTTATTAAAGGAAGAACATGAGTTGTGCAGACAGTTGGGTCAGAACCCAATCACACTGGCCCCTGGGACTCAAAGCCATATGATAGAACAGTTATTAAAATGGGACTGTCTCATAACAAGCCAGTCATTTCCACAGAACATCCACCAATACCTCACTGTCCTAACCTTTGTGCAATGGAATTTGGCACTTTTCCTAAATGGATGGATTGTGCAAATGCCTTGGAGTACAACATAAAGTGTCTAGAAATAGTGGATGCATTTTAGACTGGTCTCTTAGAATTGACAAAGACAATTATGTAAGAATGTCATGACCCTGAAGGCTTTGTTGGTAATATCCTAACCTTCAATGAAGGATGTTTGGTGCTTAATTATAGCCTCAGATTTCCTGCACTATACTGATAGCCCTATGCCTGATTTCATATAGGGTTCCTGCTATGGCCTGCAGGCCTGTGCTCAATCTCCTTATGCTCTAATTATTGGAAATGTGAGAATTTAGAGAAAGGATGATGAATATTTTGAAGCTTGTAAAAAATGCAATTTAACTAATTGCATTACTAGCTATAACAGAGGGAAAGGAACATTGATCCTTCACCAGCCCTCCTTTGTCTTATTACCAGCCAACATTTTAGAACCATGGTATGCTGATGCTGGTGTCCAGGTTTTACAATAGATATATGCTCAGTTAACCAGACCTAAGTGAGCTCTTGGTCTCATAATCCTTGGAGTGGCTGTTTTAATTTCATTCATTGCTTCTATGGTTACAGCCTCTGTGGCTATATCTCAAAATATTCAACATGCAAATGTTCTTAACAATTTGGCTCAAAATACTTCCAAAGCCCTCCATAATCAGATAATATTGATGAAAAGATTGAAACTAAATTGAATGCTCTAGAAGTCACTGTCATAAATATTGGTAATGAGCTTTCTGTTCTCAAGTTTAGGAAAGGCTTAAGTGCCATGCTGATTATAAATGTATCTGTGTTACTGCAGCCAAGTACAATACTTCCCAATGGGATTGGGAAAAGGTTAAAAATCATCTAATGAGTATTTGGCAGAGCAATAATAATAGCTAGCCTGGATCTTTTGGAGTTACATCACCATATCCAAGATATTCAAAAAAGTAAAACTGATCTTTTGGATCCTACCTCTCTAGCTGACCATATACTTCAAGAATTAAATGGCTTTAATTCTGGAAACATGCTTAAACATTCTCCATGGTATATTATTGCAATGTTATCTATGCTATTAGTTCTCTTTTGTATTGTGATGATAGGATTTTGTGCCCTCAGAACAAGAATACAGGAACTTGAGATAATGGCTCATCATTTACTCTTTCAAAGTAAAAAGGGGGAATATGTGGGTAGCTGCCCATGAGCTGTTAAGAATTCTCTCTCAGCCTTGAGCCAAGGGGGTGTTGGTCTGCCATTGCATGCTGTAGGCTGCATGATACAGGTGGCCTCCACCTTCACTCAGTGAAGAAATAAGTCTGTTTTCTCATAACTCTGGACCTGGGCATTACCCACTGGGGCTAGGTCAGCCCATCCCTGCCTTATTTGAAAAACATTTATCAAAAATTCTTTGTTAATTTCCCTATAAATAAAGGGATTCTGGGTGCACACTCTCTCTTGCTCTCTTGCCTTCCAGTGTGACAGCAGGACTCTTAAGGTTGCAGAGACATCTTACCCCCGCTTTGTGAAAAAATTACTTTTGTGTCCGTGTGGTCTTTTTACCACCAGCCCACACCATGCAGAGGGATCCCGATTCCATCACCCAAGTGGGATGTGGGTGATACACGTGACATGAAAATATAACCATTTGCACATTGACACTTTTACATGGAACAATTTAAGTTGCAAAAAGAATCATGTTTATTCTTCAAAAGAATCATGTTTATTCTTCAAAAGGATAAACTGCTACATACTTATAATACAATTCAGGAATGAGAACAATTGATACATGCAATGACACTGTACTAAGTAAAGAACATCAGACAAAAACATGACTGTATTACACAATTCCACTAAGTATGTCAACTTTGATAACAAGGAAATATACATGATAATGTATCAGAGCAGGGGTAGCCTCTGGGGAGTAAGGAAGTGCCTGTAATGAGACTCAAATGAAGTTTTTATTTAAAAAATTTTTTTTATTTGTCTATGGGTCTTTATTGTCATTTATTTATATGTGGCACTGAGAATCAAACCCAGTGCCTCACACATGCCAGGTAAGTGCTCTACCACTGAGCTACAACTCCAGCCCTCGAAGGAAGTTTTTGGGGAAACACAGATGACTGTATCTTGTTTTGGGTGATGGTCTAATGCAATAACACAGCTGTCAAACGGGTGTATGGTTGTCACTTTCTTATGATCTGTGTGACTTTTGTAATTAAATTATATTTCATTTCAAAGAGTCCCATGTGAAATTCTTACAAATCAAAAACAAATTTATTTAGATGCGTGCAGTGTATATGTTTGTTGGTAGTCTCTGAAAGATTACATTAAAAATGGAAAATTTTGGAGACAGGTACATAAAAAAATGCTGGATCATAACAAACTCAAGTGATGCTATTTTTTAAAAAAAATTGAAAACTACATACACTGTAACTTAATTACATAAAATATATTTTAAAAGCATACATATATAAAACATACAAGATCTATAAAGGTATGCAAATAGTATGGAGAATAAAGATGATTTGTAACTAATATAGTAATGTGTATTTCCCCCTATTTTTGATATCTATGAGTTTCTGCACTATTATTTGCAGAATAAAGATGATGATAAAACAATTAAAACTAAAAAGTAAACAAAAGCTAAATACAAAAATTTTAAAAATTGACCCCCCAGAAAAACCCAAGTAACTGGAAGGTCACAAATATATCTTCCTCCTTTGTCCTTCCCAAGGCAGAAAAAAAAAGACATTTCATCTTTGAGAGATGTCATTTTAAGAGATGAAAATCCCAACTCCACTCACCTGAAACTTGGTCATCTTCTCCTGCTCCTTCTGGGGAAGGGCAGAGTCCTGGGAAGTCAGAACTGGGAAAGAGGAAAGAAGCCATGAGACAGGCCCCAACCCATTTGCTGCTCTGTGGGAATTTCTAAATGGAGAGTAGCACATACCACTGGCCCCGCATGCTGGGGCCCTTGTACGATGAACAATCTACTCTCAGCAGCAAGCCTCCCTGGACAGTCCTTGTGGCTCTCAAGGTTTTTAACATTCTCTTCCTGGGTGTTGTTGGAAACAAAAGATAGTGGAATGTACCAAACTCTGGAACCAAAGGATCTGTAGTAAAATCTTGGTGCTGCTAATTTGGTCAAGCTAATTACCTCCCTTTCCCCCAAACTTATAACCTGTAAAACTGAGAAAAATAGTACTTCCCTCACGGGATTTGAGTATGAGTAGATGGAAAAGTTTACACCTGATTTTCTTAGTCTTTGCCTTCAGTCTGTGAGTCCTGTTGGCTATGTTACTTAGTACTGTGTTGTTGTGTAGTAATATTTAATTGACATCAGTCTGTGGTTTTATAAAAGGTACAAACACTTCTCAATTTTCTTTGTGTAGTTAGGAGGGTCTCAGTGGTGCAGCCTCTTCCTCCTACACTCTCTGTGATGAAGAAAAACTACAACTAGGACTGTTGATTTTTTTTCATTTTAAACAAATGTTCAGCAGTCACTTTTTAAAACTTTTCAACAGCTACTTTTTTAAAAAAGCATTCTCTTTTAGTGTTATTTATTTATTTTTATGTGGTGCTGAGGATCAAACCCAGTTCCTCACACATGCTAGGAAGTGCTCTACCACTGAGCCACCACACCAGCTCCAGCAGTCTCATTTAAATGAACAGTAATGACAGATCCTAAGTGACAGAGGTGCTTTGGGTGTTGGGTGTTCAGTGAGCTGATCAGCAGCCTTGGCCATGCAAATCCATAGACACAGGGTCTGAGTTGCTGCCAGAGGCAGGGGGCAGGTAGTAAAGCAAAAGACTTTAAAAAGTTTTTTTTGTTTTGTTTTTTTGGTGTGATGAAACTATTCTGGAAACGGGTAGTGGTGATGGTTGAACAACCTAGTGAACACCCCAAAGATCACTAAATTTCACACTTTAAAGAAGTGAATTATATGTGTGTGAATTACAACTTGATTTTTAAAATAGGAGAAAAAAATCTTGTCTCAGTGCCTGCCATGGTATACAAACTCTCAAGAAGGGATGTTCCCATTTAATGGATGAGGAAACTGAGGAGTAGTGCGATTACCTCACCCAGGGTGACAGAGCTGGTGAGAAGAGACTGCATCTGAATCCAGCTGACTTCATCTTCCTCTCTGATCTTTAAGTCTGAAGAGATGACTGGGGTGTCTTTCAGATCAGAAAAGGGGGAGCTGGAGGACATGGACTCTGCTGAGATGCTGAAGCCAGATCATCAGAATCCTAACACTGACCCCTGACTCATTAGCTCTTTGTGCCTCTTTCCATCACCACATCTTCAAAACGGGCATGGCAACAAAGTCAACTTCAGAAAGTTGTTAAGATCACTCAATACAGGAGAATGGATGTTGTTCCTGGGTCTTTCTGCTCAAGCAGGAGCCCACTAGTAGGCATAAAAGCAATGTGGCTATTTCTCAAAACATCCAGTTCCCTTTGTCCTGGCCCTCATTCATCTGCACCTTCCTGCTTTGCTTGGCAGCAAGGTTTTGAAGGAGACCTGACATTACACAGCAGTTATGAGAGAAAAGAGGGCCTGGCTCCATCCTGCTCATGGCAAGCTGCAGGGTCACTTTCCCAGGCCCAAGTTCCCAGCCCTTGCTCATTCCTGGGTTGCCAGGTTCTCTCCTGTCCCTGTTCCCACCACTCTTCCTCCCCAGAGAACCACTTCCTTTTCTTCTCCTGTAATCCCTGCCAAGAAGTCTTCAGAGGAGTTGGGGAAATGATGAGATTAAGCATCTGTTTTTGCCTGTGAAACATGGAACACCTAGGTACCTTTTTGTCCCCAGCAACTAAAATATAACAAGTTCTCAAAAACACAGGGAATCCAAGAATGACTGAAGGCACATGCTCAGGCAAGGACGGTATAAACTCACCTGTGAGGTTTCTTGAAGCTGTAAAACTCTGAGGTTGTCCCTAACTGGGAGGAGGGGAGGATGGACTGTATCATCTCATTTCTTCCTTTGGCTTTTAAAATTTTATTTGTTTTGCCTGAGCAACATCAAGATCATCCTTAAAAATGAAGTGGTTCATAAAAGGGTCAATCATGGGCTATGGATGATGTAAATCCTATCAGTTTTAACAACACCATCAGGTAGTTACATAATCTTCTCAAAGTGTTCTTCTCTGGACATGATTTATATAATTTTAGCACCCACCCCCAACACGCCATTTCCCTTCTTCTCCCATTCACTTTATTTATTTAGCACTCTCACTCTCTAACATAACAATGCACATTTTATTTATTTCCCGTCTACCACCCCCCCTTTGGGAATGGAAGCCTCCTTGTTTTGTTCACTGCTTTTTATCCAGTGTAGAGCATCTGTTAATGCAGCAGGCAGGCAATATATGAGATGCTGAAAAAAATGAATGATTGGATGAAAAGATGATCAAGATACATTTTACATTAACTGAGCACCTCATTACTGCTAACCAGATTTATTCATTTCTTCATTCAATAAATCTTCAATTCTGTGTATTAAAGACAGCAGTGAAGAAAGTCCCTGTGCCCATGAAATGGATACTACAGTGGGGAGACAAGTAATAACAACAACCAACAGATCGGGATGAAGGGTGTCAGGGAGAAAGCGATGGGGATATGCCATTTCAGATGGCTTTACTTCTAGTGATGGCTGACTGACACTCTGTAGATGAATTATCCCCTTGGGCCTCCTCTGTGAATCAGGAATAATAACGGAGTTGAAATGACATGCATCCTCTTACATTAGATGGTGTCACCAAGGGGTCACGCTCTTCAACTGTCCGCAGTCCTTTTTGAGAAGTGGGGGCGGAGGAAGGAAAGGAGGATGGAAGATGATTGTGTCCCTGGTCCAGGATAACTCCCAGTGAGCGACCCCAGGCACGCGACAGAAGGGAGACACAGGCCACGGGTCATCGGGCTCAGCGCCACCGCAGGCTCTGCCGTCTTCAGGGTCCAGGGCTTCTCGGGAAGAAGTGACCGCGGGCAGCAGCCGTGCAGGAGGGTTCTGATAAACCTCACAGCCCCTACTAGGTCGGCTACAAGGAAACCCCTGTGCAGGGGAAACGGCGCCGTTGGTAACTACTAGGATCACACGGCCAGAGAGCTGCAGAGCGTGTGCAAAGCGGGGGAAACAGGAGACCCGAGAGCCGGGGAGACCTCAGTGATGCGCGACCGCGGCCCGCCCCGACTCGGGGACCTGCGAAAGCCCCACAAGCGAGGGGGACGCAGACCGTCGCCTCTGCCGCCAAGGCTTATTTTCCCCCAAGAGTTAGGGCCCAGGAAAGACCCGAGCAGACCTAAGGATCGGCGCTCATTCACCTCCCAGTGGGCATTGAGAGGACGGCCTTGCCCTCCTGCGGCGGAAGTGCTCAGGCCTGGACGAGGCTCCCGGACTACACTTCCCAGAATTCCGCCACGCGGAAGTGGCTGACGGCCTGGAGCTTCTGGACCACACTGCCCAGAGTAGCCAGCAAGTAGCTCTTATGCAAGGTTGTCACTCTTATTTCTAAAAATATACAAGTGCGTTTGGTTCACAGCGTCCTCAGCGTTTAAACTTTTCGTCCTTTTAGTTTTACATACCTCCCTTTCCCAGCTCAAAACTGTTTTCATCTACAACCAGCCGCTCTGGAAATCATAAATACAGGAGAATATTTTATTTTTCTATAAGTTAGTTGAACTCAATGAGCAATTACTTTTCAGAAAGTAGGACTGGTGGGTTTTTATTTGCTGGGGTTTTGGAGATTCAACCCAAGGGTTGGCCCATGCTAGACAAACGTCCTAACATGAACTACACCAAGGGGTACAGACTTTTGTCTCAAAAAACAAACAAACAAAAAACCAACCAAACAAAACCCCCAGAAATCGTTTTTTTTTTTTTTTTTTTTTTTTTTTTTTTTTTTTTTTTTTTTTTTTTTGTCTTGTTTGCCAGCATCCACAAAAAAGTGTCAGGGTAATTTGTTAGTTTGCAAGTTATGCAAAATCCTGGAATCTTCAATTTAAGGTTTAAAGTCTTCATTAGATTTGGTCCATTCTCTGTGGCAATATTTCTTAGGATGGGCTAGAAATATCTGAAAAAAGACCCATAACTTACCTGTTGATTTAGTGTTTTCTGCGTTAACAAGTAATCTTCATACACATTTATTTTAAATGGTTGTGCCATATACTTTTTAATGTTCCTTTACTGCACTAGCTAGTATCTCTCATTTATCAGTGAATCCATTAATTAACAGTTCTTATTTGTAAATTTTAAGGAATATTCCAGGCATCACATCTATGCATTCATAACTTTTTAAATTTTTTTTTTTAATTTGATAGACTTTGTTTTTATGTGGTCCTGAGGATTGAACCTAGTGCTTCCATACATGCTAGGCGAGTGCTCTACCACTGAGCCACAACCCCAGCCTTCATAACTTTTTTTAATACAAGAATCACTATACTGTAAGGGACAACTCGACTTAGGCAATGCCATTTGGAAACATAGCCTCCATTTTAGAACTGTCACCTAGATCACTCTGATGCAGAACAATGGTCAGCATGACCTAATCCCAGACAATACCCTGTACCCCGTTATCTTGAACTGAAATCTTGAGAAACATTTTGTTCTACATGGAACAGCAGTGACCATGAAGAATGGCATGATGACCCCAAGAATCCTTCTCTGACAACCCTCTAGCAACAGCTAAACTGCAAAAATTTTCCCCACCCTCTCACTCCCCTAGGCTGTAAGCAGAAGACAGGCTCCAATCACGGCTGGGACACCTTTCCTCAGGTTTATCCCAAATAAGCCTGTTACTGTTAAGGCGCTTCTCCTCTTTATTTCCTTCATTAAGTTCTTTCTTCACATATACCTATATCATACTTTTAAAAGTTAGCAGTATTTCTTTAATATCAAGTAATGCTCAGTCCAGAATACCATTTATCCTGTTGTTCCAAAGATCCTGTAATGGTTGTTTTGGTTGAATTAAAATCCAAACAAGTTCCACTCACTGAATTTGTCATGACTCCTAAATCTGTTTAAATCACAATGGTCCTCTCTTTTGTCAGTTATTTGTTGGGGAAATCAGATCATTTGTGCTGTGACATATGCCATCTTATGGATCATTCCTTCTTGTATTGCTGAACTTGTTCTATTTCCATACTTTCTGTATACCAATGGAATACACATCCAAAGTATAATAACAAAAGCAGTACACTGATTTAAAAAAACACTGGAAAATGACTAATCAATGGAAATTGGGAGCCAAGACACATCTATGCATTTGATTTTTTTTTTCATACCAGGGATTGAACCCAGGTGTGCTTAACTACTGAGCCACAGGCTTAGTCCTTTTATTTTTTGAGACAATGTCTCACTAAGTTGCTTTAAGTTGCTGACGCTGGCCTTGAACTTGCAATCCTCCTGTCTCAGCCTCAAGAGCCACTGGGATTACAGGTGTGAGCCACCATGCCCAGCTGCATTTATGATTTTTTAAAGTAACAATGCAATCAGTGGGGAAGGGACTTCTCAATAACATATAGGAATGATAGGCATATGGAGATAAAAAGTATGTGAGGTAATAATACTTTCCTTTAATGATTCCATGAGTTGATTTTAATTAGCACCTATAAGACAGAGGGAAAGAAAGAGGGAGAGTGAAAGCAGCCAGTTAAAATTAAAGGTAAATTCTGAGTTTCAAGGAAAAGTGGTGCAGTGATAATGGATGTGGCTACTCTGGAATTCTATTCACACGATTACAATCACATTACAATTTTATCAGGGCAATGGGCTCGAGGTGGGTTCAATTGAAGCAGCAATGCTAGAGGAGCCACAGGAGCAGCTCGCTGCCCCACTTCCCAGCTAGAGTGACTTTTAGGAAAAAATGGATCAACCAACTTTTATTTTAAAATATATCCCCGAGGCCTGGGGTTGTGGCTCAGTGGTAGAGCACTCACCTAGCATGTGCGAGGCCCTGCGTTTGATCTTGAGCACCATATAAAAAATAAATAAAGGTATTGTGTCCAACTACAACTAAAAAATATATTAAAAAACACATCCCTAAGAACTGTCCTTAACCACGGTGGACCAAGGACAGGGGTTTGTGTCCTAATCACACATCAGGGTACCCCTTTTAAACACTATCTTAACCTCCCATGTATACTAGCATTGATCGACTGTGAAGTGACCATTGCAGGAGATGAGAGAAACTGAAGACTTCTGTGCTTGTGTC